TATTATAAACATTTTAAAACTCTTAGTTGGATTGTATATTTGTTGTAGCAGTTGTGTGGGACAATTTTTGTTAAAAATTTATCTTGTTTATAATTGATGATTAGCACATTAGTATATAGATATTTACCATGTTCATTGCTTCTATTAATCAAAGTGGTTATTTGGTGTAAAGTTTTTTTTTTTGTACTTCAATAATTGTATTATATATATTTTTAAATAATTATGCGTTATTACAAAATATACTCTTCTAGAATTATGCAATATTTAGTTTTTATTAAATTAAGTCATGTTGACTTGAAAATAATATTATAAAAAAATAATTATAAAATGAATAGGGGACGTTTAAGTGAAATTTTGTATTTGTTAACAGAAGTGAACATTGAGCGACGTTATGTAATGTAAATTGCACAGCAGGAAAAAGTATTTGTCTAATTTTTAGTAACTTGTATTATAGTTTTTTATGAAAAAAAAATAATAATAATAAATTTTAATTAATTTAAGTAAACTAAATTTAATATTTAAAATAATCAAGTAGTTGTTATTCGGATCAAGTATGTTGATGACTATGTGTAAAACAGTTGAGGTTTTTAGTGTTACAAATGAAAATAACCAACCTTAGTTATAAAAGTAATCTGCAAAGTAGCCAGCTATAAAAATGTACGTTTGTGCGGAAATGGAAAAAAAAAATAGTAGTTTCACAACCGGCCTTTTTCATCTATTGCCTTTATGTTGTTGATCAAATTTTAGCTGATGGCTGTGAAAACAGTGGCACTTTGTTGAGAGCAAATTTATGCGCATTAGTGATCCGACGAGTTTAATTTTCTGGAAACCACAGTAAGACTCGTCGGGTGATGATAAGTCGAGATTGCAGTAGCAATCCCGTTAAAAACTGAACATGTGGTCATGCCAATGCATCAACTTCATGACCCACCATATCTCCTATCCCCTCCTAAAACCCCTTTTTAGTTAATTCCGTGTGCCGAACTGGTAAAAGATGTGTTAATTCGATTAAAAGCTACCGCCTCGTCCCGACTCAAACACTCGGAGGTTCTTCCGGTTCGCCGATTTATTGCCCGCAAATAAAAACTACTGGTATATGGTTCACTAGTAATGTGATTAAATTATATGAAAAAAGTTTCTTTACATTCGTCGAAAAAACAAAATTGTTGTGGCGTGATGCAACAACCTTTACCTCAATTCGACTGCTGAAATCATGAGCACCTTTTGAACGTTTAAATATCGAACACTTGTTGGGGTACATTAATACACTACGACTATAAATCTTCATTTTAATATGTATCGGTTATTTTATTTTTTTGTAGTATTATTTGTTAAGCCATTTTTCATAAATTTATAAATTTTTTATGAGATTATTTGCTGAAAAATTGTTATTATTTATATTTCATGGTAAAGCTGATAACAATGAATAAAATTATTTTATTATTATATTTATGTTTTGAGATTTTCGAATCAAATGAAGATACATAACTATATTTTATTATTAATACATTTTTAACTCTTTACTTAACTAGGAAAAATAAACTCTTGACAAACATTTTTTTCTCATAAACTGGAATTAATCGGATAATAAATTACCGATCTGTGTTTTAAATACTATATTTTAATGACTTGTACATCCATAATGGCAAAAAACATTTTTAACGTGATGGTTAAATGATAGTAATAAAATAACAAATTTTACCAATATTTAATTTTTTAACCTATCGATTGAAATATGTTTTTCATAGATTTAAATGATAATTAAGTATATATTTATTTAAAAAGAAATATATTCAGTATAGAACAAATAAAGAGCACATTATTATTAATTTAACAATATAGTTTCTAATATAACTATATAGAATTCAATGCTAAAGTTCCCAAAATAAAATAATACCACATTTTCTTCATTGTATTTTATCGCATAAAAAAAATTTATATTTCATCAAAACATAACCAACTATTTATTATTGCATATATCATCATATATTTGGTCCGAGTGATTATGTTAAGTACAAACAGATATCATAAGATACGGCAATTAAAAATCTATGTATAAATTAAATTATAAAAAAAAACACAAAAACCAATATTTTCAGCAAAAAAAAAAAAAAAATGGTAATTTTAATCATTTGTGGACTTATGAAAACAAAAAATTATCATAAAAATATTAAAAAAAAAAAAACAATTTTTTTAACAAAAGAAGTAGATGATATAAATTTGCTTCTTACGCAGTAATTAACTTGAATGTATTTGTTTACAGAAAATAGTTAAATATAATTTCATGTTTGAAATGTATACACCCAGAGAAAAACCTCGATCTATATAATAAATTCATTGTTCAATTTGATAAATATATCATTACTATTGAATCAATGATATATTTATCAATATGATATTTTTTTTTCTTGTCTTGAACAATAATTATTTATAAGAATAGTTATTTTGTTCGTATTAATAAAACATTATCATAAACCCTTGATAAAATTTCTCTTTCAATTTTGATTGAGGTTTTTCTTTGGGTGTAGAATAAATATCAAATTCGTTAATAACAATATTCATTAATAATATATGATTAACAATATTTAAAAATACTTTATATTTTATACTATGGACATTTTTTTCACGGAATATTGTGTAAAATTCAGTATTCCCTCATATAATAGAAAAAATAAATAAATTTATTAGATGTATACGTTTTTTTAACATCTATAAAAGTAATATCGACTAGGAATGTACTTTTTTAACGATTTGACTTCAGAAAGATGTAAGTTTTCTTGTATATGTACAAAATAACGTTGCAGTAAGTTAAAAGGGACTTTTCGTTGTTTGACAAGAATACCAACAAATCCTCAAAAGGAATAAGTATAAAAAAGCTCAATAAAGATGCACTATGGAAATTTTTTTTTTTAGAAATTTAAACAGTGTTTATGTAAAGTACAATTTATGTATTAGCATTTTATTTGCTACCTACCCCTTTCATTTGGGTTTAATGCATTGTTCTTTAACTGTTCCTTTTTACCATAAAAGTGTTAACCTCACTCCAAAATAAATAAACAAAATGAAACAGAGAGAAGCTTTATTTTGATGAACAAATCTCTTTGATGTTGAATTATATAGTTTTCATTCAATTTTCTTATTATAGGAATCAAATTTAATTGTAGTTAAATTTCTACTTTTTATGGAATGAATAAATAAATAATTTTGACCATAAATTACTCAATGCACTTATTTTATTTTAGATTTTGGAAATACTAAACACTACTAATTTAACTTAAAAATTATACGAATATGTTACATAGTTTAGATTTCATAGTGTATTATAAGTGCACTATATTTTAGCTATATATATTCTTTTGATTATTTTGCATAATTATTTTAGATATTTTTGAGCCTCTTTTTATATGTTTATTAAATAATTTTATGCTGGCATGTATTTCTAAAAAAAGTTCATAACAATATTCATAAAAATGAACTTAGGTGTTATTAATATAATGAGTTTAATGTATTCTAATGAAAGTATTTATGTTATTTCATGAAATTTGAGAATATTTTTAATTGAACGGTAATAACAATAAGATTTTAACTTGGTAAGCATTCAATAATTCTGTTATTTTTTAAATAACTTTGAATAATAGGCTTAAAACTGTATTTTATATTGTTAATTTTGTCAACAAATATATTGTTGTTGCACAAGGTTTTATATTTTACAGAATATTCAATGTTATTTTCACGATTGAACATTGCAAAAAAAGATTTCATTAATTTAGCTTTTGGCTTTAACAAATACAAAGAGGGTTGATGAAATATTATAAGGATTACCAATTTCCCCCAAAAAAAAAATAATAAGTCACAATAAGTCTATTGTAAATAGATTTTTTTTTTGTATTTTAGATAACCCTTTTATTTTATGTAATTTCAAAAGTTTGACCAACGTCAACAGTTGTACAGCTAATTTGTAAAACTACTTAGTTCTTTAAAATATTAAATTTTTTTTGTATTCAATATTTTTTCGATGAATAGTTTCTTATTTGTTTATTATAGTTATAAAATTGTTATTTTCGATAATTAAAAAATATCAATTGTTCAGTATTAGAATTTCTAATTTAATTTATTATTGAGTTTAGTAAATGTATTTTATTCGTGTCGGTAATAAAAACCGAACGAATAATATTGAAGTTTACAAAACCTAGTTACTGGTGACCTAATCTAGGATTTTAGTGTTCTAGGAATGGTTACAGAAGATTGCTCGTCAACACAAAAGGCGGCAATAATAGCTGCGGATTTTATCACCCTCACTTGGCTAATCACGTCATTTGGGTCTCTAAAGTCAATTGGAACAAATAATAATAGTTATATGACATGTAGAGGAATAATAATAATAAACGATATTAAAAGTGAGGGGAGACTAGTCAGCGGAGACCTTATGTGCGGTTTTTTGGTTACAATAGTATGACTATGAAAACGAGCAACGATGGCAGATGGTACGGTACGCAATTATTGTGAACGCCTTGTCCCTATTCGGTTCACGCCCACGCTTATTTCGATGAAAGCAGTACCCCCGATGTATCAAAAGCCCTGAACTTTTTCATTCCTATCATACATATTGAAAGTAATAAACTATTATTTATTTATTACAAGAAAATCCTTTTAATTATCTATTTTTATTTAAGTTAAAAAATTGTATTAAAAAAATAATGATTGAATATTAAACATTTTTTTACTAAATATCACACAACCATATACATCTAAAGCTTCTATAAAATCTGTTATTGTAATTGTTATAACGGTGAAATAAACTAAAAATTAAGTATTTCACTAACACGTTTTTCAAGAGAATTAAAAAATTATACGCAAGCTTGAAATTAGTATTGTGTGAAATTTTCCTTACACTCATATATATAGTAATCAAATTCGAGGTTTCTATGGTATTAATTCAATTAATCTAGACTCGATCAATCTGGAAACTAAATATCCACCTTCATTAATTAGTTTTATCAATGGCCAAATTTGTTGATTTGCCTTCTGAAGTCATTTATCATGATAGTATTATATCAAATGAATTAAGAACTATGGCAAAGGAAGCATTTGTCATATTTGATCGAAACAACGAAGACAAACTAAATGTCCGCGAACTCGAAATTGCTCTAAGGGCTTTTGGTATAGATGCAACGGATGACGATGTCGTATCTATTGTAAACGAGTATGATCCGAATGGCCGGGGCTTTGTAACATGTGAACAATTTACGATGGCAGTTGCTAATATGTTGGCTAAGTTTAAAGAGGGTTGCCAAAATCTAAGGTCTCTGCTAGCTGCTGCGGATAGTGATGATACTGGCCAGGTCGGCAGGGAACATGTTCGCAAAGTACTTACTGAGTTTGATAAGACTCTAAATTCTGAAGAAATCGATGAGATGCTTGACGAAATCGACACTGCGAAATTAGGCAAAATTGATTACGACGAGTTTATCGCTAAAATGGTTAGGCCGTTTGGGTCAGATTAAACTAAACAAAACAATAATTAAATTTACTATTTATTCAAAAGTGGTTTTCAAGCAGTCAATAAATACAGAAAATTCCGTATTCTTATTATTTTTTCACTTTAATAGCCTCTAGGATTAAAAATAAAGGAAGATGATGAATAGATGTTTTCTACAAACAGAATACAAAACTACCATTATGTAATTATTATCATCATTAAAGCGAAAATATTATGTCAACGTAATAAGATTAAAATTTCTAATATTTTTTATTATTTTGTAAAATTAATTTATATGGCACCTTCAGTTGTACTACACATTGGTACTTAGATTCTATTTAATATCCGACTTTTACCGAAATTAATTAATGCGATTCTAAAAATTAGCCTAGTTAATTACAAAGCAATGTTTTTGTTATTTTGAATTGTAATTTTATGAGAAATTATACCGTGGTAGAAAATTTTAATAATTTTAAAATTCATTGTGTATTAATATTGTACTTGAATTACTGTGTACTTTTAATCACGTGCATTTCATGTAATGGCTGTATTTATCAATATATGTTTTTTAGATACTTAGGTGTAAAACTGATACAACTCTAAATTAAAGCTTCAATGTTAAACTTTATTCAACGGGTAAATTTATAATATAGTTATAAAAATAGCCCTTTGACTTATTAAATTACTTAAAATAAATCTGGAAAATGCGATTCATACTCACTCTGTATCAAAAAGGCATGTAACTCAATGAATATCTGTCCTAAAATTGATATCAACAAATCAAAATGTTTTGTAAAAAAATAGTTAAATAAAAGAATTTTTCAAAAATTATAATAAAAAATCTATTTTTTAATTAAAATTTTTTTTTATATGTGAAAAATAATAAAGAAATATGCTATAAGATGGCAATAGTTATTTAAAAAAATTTCTTAACAAATGTTAATTTTTTGTGCTTGTCACATCACCTGAATTTTTTAGCAATATTCTTTTCAAGTTATCTCTATAAGTATTGGGGTGAAAATATATCGCCGAGACGTTTTTCATTGTTTTATCAAAAATTATTCTTGAAAATCATTAATTTAATGTTGGTCTCAATTTGTCAAACGTGCGGGAAATTTTCAAAAATTTATTTTTGACACAGATATTAAAAATCTGTTTAATAAATACATCAAATTTTGTATGAATACTGTTCATGTAAAATAATTTTAAATACCTAAATAATATCTATTACGGTATGTGAATACATGTTAGATTTTAAATTTATAAGAAAAAAAATTCGATTTAATTAGAGTAAATTGATAAACTAAAGAAAAATTTAGTATACACCAAAAAAAGGTGTAATACTCAAAGTTTTTAGTCAGTCAGGTTTAATTCGAATTTCTTTAAATAGTACAATTAATTTATAGTAATTTATAATTTGATGTTAATACTATAGAAACAAAAAAAAATTAATATAAACGAAATGTAATTTTATGATTTAATTGGTTATACAAGTGATCTTAGTCGTTATCTTATAGGGATGATCGGAGACAATAGTAATATTTTTAAATTAATAACTTTTTTAATAATTATTTTTTATTTTACATTTTTTTATTGGTAAAACTACCATTTGATAAAGGAATAGAATACCTACTAAATAATGTCTCAATTACTATTTAATAACAGTATGCTTGATGCATAATGATGATGTTTTGCATCGACAGATAGCAAATATTTGCTATCTGGACGAGTGACTTTGATCGGTATCTTAGTTATGGTTTTTAAATTGCAAAATTAAGTAAAAGAAGCAATAGTAGAACTAGGGTTTCGTCTAGGAAGAGAATATATAAATAAAAACATTTTGATACTTTTTTTAAATGTGAAAACATTGTATCTTTGCAGTCTAATTATTTTTGTGTTGAAAGGACATGAAGTCATACCTTCCTGTAATACGCCATAGAAGAAAATAATATATAAAGAAACGTTATTTTCTGATCAAATTATTTAAAATATTTAATCCAAATGGATTTGCACACTCGAATCTTTAAACGTCAAAATGAGTCTTGAATTTAGATAATTTAATAATGTTATTATAGTGCTTAAAAATTATTAATTTTTTTACTTTAAAATCTCATAGAGAGCTATTCTAACATTTCAATATTTTGTATCATATTCCTTGGTATTTTTTGTGTAATTCTTCGTATAGTTCATACTATAGGATTTTACAGAATTATAAGAAAAAACTTTAATTTGATGTAATTTCATTATGAACAATTTAATGAGCACAATATTTTCAAACTAATTATAAGATCATAGGTGAACAGTCCACATAAGCCATGATCTGACTTAATGTGTTATTATATTTTATTTACATTAACGATTTATATTATTTATAAAAACAAAATTTAGCAAACTAAATGTACCTGCTAAAATAAATATGATAACGTTTTAATAGGCCTTTAATATTCATAAAATTTATTTTTATCGTTTTTTATGTATAAGTAGTATAATAATTTTTCTTTGTTAAAAATTTATTTAAGTGCGACAGTGAACATTTCAATTTTATTTTAGTTAAATATTACAAGGTATAAATCATAGTTTAGCTCATTCTTATAACTTTTTAAACAAAGTAGATAATTATAACTTTGTGGTTTAAACAAATAAATTATTATTTACAGAAAAATTTATTTTTTAAGAAAAATCATTAATTGTTATTAAATTTATAAAAAAAAAAAACGTATGGTAAGTTTAATCAGTTTATTAGTGTAAACTTTGTAAAGTAATATAAAAATTAATTATGCTATAGAGACATAAGATTTTTCTTTTCGGTATATTTTATCCAATTTTGATATTCTAAAACATAAATAGATAAATACATTTTTAATGAAATCAATTATTATGGTTATAATACGTTCAATTGTATTTGAGAATACTTTTATCATAAAAATTACATGTATGCAAAAATTATATGATTTTGCGTAATATTTATTTGATATATAGTATTTTACGGTAGAATACTAATAAACAAATTTATTATTATTTTATTATGAATGATATTCATTTAAGTTTTTAATTCATAAGTTTTTTAACTTATGAAAAATATCAACTATGTCAGTTGACTATTTATAAAAGTATAATCAATAACTTATGATATTTTTATCAATTTCTATCAATTATTGTATCTAAATAGTTTATAAATTTAAAGTATTTATCAACATTACGATCATAATTCATTTTATCATCTTCTACTTCAAACATTTTCATATCATTGTCTATCTGGTCTTCGCTTTCATAAAGACTACTACCTATTAATATTTCTTTCAATTTTTCTCTTGATATATATCCTTTTCCTTCAGAAAGGATCGTGAATGTTTCTTTTTCTTCATCAATATCCGTATTGTTTTCGAAGTATATATAATATAATAAACTTACAAATGTTTTGAAATCTACAGTATTTTGCCCTAAAATTTTTTTTAGAAAATGTTAAATATTATTAGATATTTTGACGATCGCATAATTTTGTTTAGTTGACATATGCCAGGATTCTTTTAATTCGAAAATCATTCTGAAGAGAATTTGGAAACTCAATGATTTTATTTAAAGTGACAATCATAATTTCTAGGTATTAGACTTAGACTAAATGGCACTCAAAATAAAAACAATCAACAGTTAACGGACTTTAATTAAAAAAAAAAGAAATTTTGAATACATAATATTGTCATAACATAATACGTCTTTTTTTAAATTGTCTACTTTAATCGTTAACTGCTTTAATAACCGTTAAAAAGACTTGTAATACAAATAAAGTATACACACACACACACACACACACATATATATATATATATTCATGTATAAAAAAAAAATATTTTAATTTATAATTAATATATTATTACCATCACATTTTAGTGGTATTTTTTTAATTTCTTCCTCGTTAAGAGTAATACCGATCATCTTAAAAAGGCTTATAATTTGCGTAACAGGAACATTAGTGTCATTATTATCTGACAATTCAATAAATAACTGCTTTAATATATTTAATTCTTCTTCTGTCACTTGATATCCCTAAAAAAAAATAATTTCCATATATTAGTGAAAAAAACATACGTGAAATTTATTTATAATAAATTAAATAGTTGAATCTTAAATACTAATATGAAATATTGAATTATTGAAATGTATAAAACATTAGTGAATTAATATTTAATTTTTAATTAAATAACAATAATTTTTGTAATATAAAAAAATTTCGAACTCGAAAGTAATAAATATTATATTTAAAAACCTTAATACATCTATGAATTTTAATTTGAAATTTGTTTTTTAATATTTTGAATAAAATTACTTCTATTGGGCTGTTTTTTTCAGTAAGCATCGAAGGCATTGTCAAAATGGGTATGAAACAACTCACAAAATAGAATGCACACCAAATTTTAGAAATCATATTAAAAAAATGTATTGAATTTTTAATTTTAAATGATCAATTGTTTAAATTTTAAAAATTTATTCAATCACGACAATACAATTTATTTTTTCAAATTAAAAAAGTCTTTTGTGACTTTTTATTTTAACGATGAAAATTTTTTTTTAAATGCATTTATTAATACACATTTTGTGTGCGCATGCAAGTCTATAGTATTTTGCTATACGCGAAAACAACGAAAATATATATAATAAATATGCATACAGAGTGATCGGCTTATCATAAACCAATTGATTACTCTCAAAATAAATACAATATTGGAAAAAAAAATTTTTGATTTCTTCTAGATACATATGATTCTTGATTTATTAACTAAAAATTACTTTTTTAGAATCCTCCATTATAACCTAAAGGGGTAATATCTTTATTTTTTTGAATGGCAACATATATATTTAACTTATAAAATAAAAATGATTTAATTAGGGAAATAATTGGTCGATAACAATTTTTGGACTTGTCGTTTAGAAGTATTTAATAATTTAAATAAATGACTGGAGGTGAGGAGTGGGTGTTGCTATTTTTATCATTAGTCATTTTCAGTCCGTACTTTTCGTCCTGCCTTGGTATAAATATGAGGAAAACTTTTTAAGTACAGTTCCAAAATTTGTTACGGACCAGTTATTTTCTTAATTAGATTATTTTCTATTTTCTTAGTTAATTAAATATGTATTAAAATAAAGATATTATCCCTTTAAGTTATAATGGAGGATTTAAAAAAGTAATTTTTAGTTTATAAATCAAGAATTATATTTATCTAGAAGAAATCAAAATTTTTTTTCCAGTATTGTATTTATTTTCCGAGTATTCGTGTGGTTTATGATAAATCGATCACCTTGTATGTATAATAATTTTATATATATTTTTAAATTGTGTAAATTAATAAAAAATAAATTGTAAGCTATAAATCAGGTTCTGCAAATTCATAATTTACTGGATTTCCATATTAGTAGTTATTTATTTATACAGCATAAGTATTTCTGTGCTTTAAAAATAATGTACAATAAAAATTACCATTACGTATAAAATAAATTATAAAAAATAATTAAAAATAAATATTCATGTACATTTTATAAAAGAAAGTATTCAGAGTCAAAATTGATTCACATAAGGAAGTAATATTATCTATTATATTACAATAGATATTATTTTTTATATAGTTTGTAGAATATTTGTAAAAAGTTGGGGTAATATATTTAACCATATGATAAACTATAAAAATTTTCAAAGTTCTCAGTAATATTTTAATCCCATAACGCTCAATAAAATAATAAAAATTAATCACCTTAAATTTTTAATTAATATGTTGAATAAAATATATGTAAATTTCTTTTTTGCTATATTTTATTTGCAGTTATTATTGATTTCTTAAGTTGTTTTTTCCTAAAGCAAAATTTTTGTATTACTTATAATATATATATATATATAACAGAATTCAATAAAATGCAATATTATATATTTTTTAGTTGTAAATTATGCCCTAAATCATAATAGTTCTGTATTTTAATTGAAAGCTGTTAGAGCAAAAAACAAGTACCAAAATTAGACTTCCTATGGATATTTATCAATTCCAAGTAAATCAATATATTATTTTATAATAATTATAAAATTATAAAAAAAATTTAAAGACTGGGAATGTCATTAGCATTCCTAAACATTTTTTACTTATTATGCCAATATATTTGAATAAAATTAATGTAATTTAATTATAAATATATATATGATACAATTAGTAAGATAGAAATTCAATTATTTTGTGTCAAATTTTTTTTATTCATAATATAATTTTGTTATACGATGCTTCAAAATTAATTTATAACAACTTTTATTATTTTTTATTTTAAAGCATATTTTTAATATTTTTCTACATTTATTTTTTTTTCTGTTACCAGCCATAAACGCACATTGCTTTGGAAGTTATTCCCATTTTAATACATAGGTCAGTGGAGAAGTGAGGCGAAGAAATGTTTAATGATAACAATAACAGCCTCCTCTTCTTATATCCAATCAGTACTTTAAAGTATTATTAACATCTGAGATAAAAGTCCCAAAGTTATTAGCGAACACTTATTTCCTTAATTATATTATTTCTATTTTAGTTAAATATGTATATTACATTTAAAAAAATAAATTTTACTCCTCTTTATGTTATAAGGAATGATAATAAAAAGTTATTATTAGCTGATAATTTCTTTTATGCATTTTTTTGCCATTATTATATTTATTTCTGTATAAAAAAAGAGATAAATATATATTGCCATTATACAAGGGTCATAATTAGATCATTTTAAGATCTAATTAAATAAATATGTTGTTATTTTAAATATATTTCATATTAGTGAGTAATGGAATACAATTTTAAAATTTTCAGTATATAACACTTAAAAAATACATACATATTTCCTAGAAAATTTTTTAAAAATTTGTTTGAAAAAAATCAAAATAGCAGCATTGGTATACAAATTACGCGTGTTTAAATAATAATGTAAATCGTCAAGTATTTGAATATCTTTTATCTATTTGTTTCCTAATAAATTTAAAACATAATAAAATAGCATAAATAGAATTGAATACAAATATTAATAAGTTAATGATATTAGTGTTATTTAAAAAATTATACAGAGTGATCCAGTATGTTCTGATATCTCCTTATAATTTTTGATGCAGTTAATATTTTACGTTACTACAATTTTTTTTAATAGTTTTTATATTTTGGGACCCTAATTAAAATTAAAATATCTAATATTTTATTTATTTATTAAAAAATTTTTTTTTATTTACAGAAATTATAAAAATAAATTAGAAGGTTACCATTTTTAGAGTAGATTTTAAGAAAATTTTTAATAAAAAAATATTTTATCAATGTCTAGTTGTAAATTATCAGTAGAATTTTAATGTTTGTCAAAATTATCTGGTTTTTTTTAAGATAATAAACTTAATGTAATGCTGTAATAAAAAATCTTATATAAAATAGTTAATTTTATTACTGTTGCATTCTAAATTTTATTTGATCATTTATTCTCATTTAACCACAATTGCCTAATAAAATTATTGGTCACTTCATAAGTTATATTATTCTAAGTAGTTTTTTACTTAATACAAAAAATAAATTTAATAACAATTAATAGTCTGAAAAATGTCATTATTTTTAATAAAAATAGTTTTATTGTTATTATATGAGAAATAAGTACTTCTGAAACTTTTTGAACCAATTAATTTTTGTTTTTTAATAGAACAAAAAATTTATATTTTCCATTTTATTTTAAGTAATGTATTTTGTGTTCCGCAATCTTTTTCAAAAAAAAAATAATAAATCTTGATTTTAGAGCTCTAGAAGATACTAATTATGATATAATGTTACATATATTTTAGCACCTTATATTTTAATATCATTAAATGGTGATTATTCTGATTTATCAATATATAAATCTGGTAATAGAAAATGTGTATAATATGTAATTGTGTTTTATGTTTATACAATTGTTATATCTCTGATATTTTTTATGAATTTATCTAATAGATTATTTGTTGTATGAGTTTTAGATAACTTTTTTTTAATATAATACTCTTCGTCCCGTCTAAGTATAAAAATTAGAATAACTTCCAAAGTACTGGTAAAAAGTTGTTATAAACACCTTATTAGTTTTTTTTCTAAAATTTATTAACTAGTTAAATATGTATGTTTCCATTTAAAAACATAAACCCTATTATGTTATAAGGGAAGATTCTAAAAAGTTATTATTAGCTGATAAATCAAAAATATATGTAATTAAAAGAGATCAAAAAAGGTTTCTAATACTTTATTTATTTTGCGAGTAATATAGTGGTTTAGGAAAAAACTATCACTTTGTATACTACAAGTGTATGGTAATTAAAAGAATCTAATTATTCTGTGTAGCAATATATTTAATTGATATAGAAGAATAATTAAACAAGAATTAAACATAATTTTATTTAATAGATGAATGTTTTATTTATACATGAATATTTATTTGTTAATTTAAAACATCGAATATATTTGTATAAAATAAATTCTTATTTTATAAATGTATTTATTAATAAGTAATACTAATTTATGTATTATAGTAATTCCATATTTCAAATAGTTTTCTTCTAGTTCTTATAAAAATCTCTTGGTATTACATCGTTGCGATAATGTTTATATATTTTCAAAAAGTCTGAAACAAAAGTATATAGCATCAACAGTTCTAATAAAAAAGATTGTTAATTTTTTAGCTTCGATGCGAAGCTGAGAAGGTATTGGTTTTACTAAGATGTGTTCTTTTTTTTTTTTGTGTGTTACCACTTTTTCTCAGCTCTCACCGAACCGATTTCTTTCAATGATACGTCAAATATCACAAATTGTATCTAGTCGAAGACATTACCCTCAAAAATTGATAAAAATTCCCTTGTTCCCCGTAAATGGGGGAAACCTCCAAAAAAATTACGAATTTAAAAATCGCTAATTTTCGAAATTTTTTCAATTTTTAGCTTCGATGCGAAGCGGAGAAGGTATTAATTTTACTATGATGTGTTTTTTTTTTTTTTTATGTCTGTTGCCACTTTTTCTCAGCTCTCATAGGACCGATTTCTTTCAACAATACGTCAAAAGATCACAAATCGTATTTAGTTGAAGACATTATCCTTAAAAATTGAAAAAAATTCCCTCGTTTCCCGCAAATGGGGGAAATATCCAAAAAAATTACAAATTTAAAAATCGCTAATTTTCGTAATTTTTTCACTTTTTTTTCTTAAAACTTCCATAACTTTTTGAAAAATCAACAAATCAACATAATTTTTTTTTATACTAAAACCTTAAATATTTACCTTTCATTTGATATCATTTTTTTGAAAATCTAACACTTAACCTGCTCATTGGGGGAGATTTAAAATAGCAACTTTTTTACAAAAACTAACTTTTTCAACTTAATTTTTGAAAATGTTCCGGAAATACTGCGTCCTTTAAACATATATCAAATTAAAGCTTATTTTATGTACTATCAAATCAAAAAAAAAAATTTGTCCCGACATCTTATCTTCTATGTGCAAATGGCTGTCGAAAATTTAAAAAAAAATGTAATGTTTGCGATAAAAATGACCTTTTATCGGGATGTTTTTTGTACTTAAAACTGCCATAACTTTTTCAAAAATGAACAAATAAAAATAATATTTTTTTGTATTGAAACCTTAGATATTTCCCTTTCATTTGATATAATTTTTTTTGAAAATCTAACACTTATTCTGCTCACTGAGGGAATTTAAAATAGTAATTTTTTTACAAAAAATAACTTTTTCAACTTGATTTTTGATAATGTTCCGGAAATACTGCGTCCTTTAAACATATATAAAATTAAAGCTTATTTTATGTACTACAAAATGAAAAAAAAAAATTTGTCCCGACGACCTATCTTCTATACGCAAATGGCTACCATATTCAAAAATATGCTATTTTTGTATGAAAATTATGGGTTTTGTATTTTATTTTAATAGAAGTTGATGTTGCTTTTGCAATTATCCAACAATTTTTTAAAATTAAACACTATCTACAGATTTGCATCGAAGCGTTTCTTATGATAGTGATTTTAATCACTGTCAGATTAAATCTAGACTGAACCCAACTATGCAATGTCTCCACTATGCCGCGACCCCACTGTGCTACCGTTTTTTTACTTAAAAGTGCCATAACTTTTTCAAAAATAAACATATCAATATAATTCTTTTTTATATAGATGAATAATATCATTAACTATCATTTGGTATATTTTTTTCATAAATTTAACCCTTAACCTGCCCACAAAGGGGGGATTTAAAATAACAACTTTTTCACAAAAAATTAACTTTTTCAACTTAACTTTTGAAAATGTTCCGGAAGGTCTGACACTTTTATATATATCTTAAATTAAAGCTAATGTAATATACTTTATTATGCAAAAAAAAAAATTTCGGACTTTATTTTATCTTCATGGTGAAAACAGACATCAAAGTTTATAAAAAAAATACGATTTTTGTAAAAAAATTCTTTTTTATATTTTTAACTTTATAATGCTATAACTTTTTGAAAGATGTATGGATCAATATAATTTTTTTTTTATAGTTGCATGATGTCTTTACTTATAATTTGGTATATATTTTTTTTATATCTGACCTTTTACCTGCCCACAGGGTTGGATTTAGCATATAAAACTTTAATAATCTAAAATTTTTGCAATTATGCTACTCTAATTCTGAGATACAGAAATAGTTTTTTATTATATATCTAAACTTTATTATTTAATTATTGTTTTTCTAACATTTTTTCTAAATGTCAAGTATAGTTATATATTTATATGAAAAAGGTTTATCATTCGAAATTCTAGGGTTCAAAATTATATAATGGCTCTCTCTTTAGGAAAGACAATTATATATTAAAATTTACATTCAATAATAATGATAGGACTTCAATATTTAATTTCAAAATTAAAAGGCTAATCAAAATGAAAAAAATATTTAAGTTAGTATTCGAAAATAAATAACAAAAAATAAAAATTGACTTAAAAATTTTAATCAAAATCGTCATACTTGAATATCGATTTCTAATATACTATGACAAAATATTCTGTCGTTATATAATAAATGCTTAATTAATTTTTTTAGATATTATTATTTCTTGAATTTTTTTTTTTAGAAATTGTTTTGGCATTGATATAGTTATGGTCAATCTCAGGTATTAAGATCTATTTTAAAATTCTGTATATATTTATTCACTGGTTTGACAATAAGTGGTCAAACAAAAAAATGAATAGGATTCATTTTTCTTTTATTATTTGCGACACTGTGATAGATAGAAATATTACAGTGTTATGACTTTGTGGACAAGACAATGAAGATGTGCATGAGCATCGTATGTTTAATAAAATCTACATACATTTATTATATTTAATCATTTAAATTTAGATTACTTAGTTTTGCAAATATTTTAAATAAGCAATATTACTAAAACATATAAATAATAATAATAATAATTAGTTTATTTAGTTGTAAAATAATTACCATTAAAAACTTAGGTAGTATCTCTTGATTTTAAGAGTGAATATTGTGCAATGCAATTATATATACTTATATAATTTTGAGACTTATATTAACACGTATTTGTTAATACTAAAAATTAACTATACTACTGATATAATATAAAAGTATATTAATAATTAATCAGCTTTAATTAATATTTTTATTTAATACAATAACTATAACATTATAAAAAAACTAATGTAACAAACAACGAATACGTAATTCAACGTTCGTGTATTTTTATTATTCACATATATTTAATAAATTATGAATGATTCAAATTGACATATAGACGATTTAGGTGCATTCGAGGGGGTAGCTAATTAAAAATATTTTTATCAAATAATTTGGAAATAATTAATGCAAAATGTGTTTTGAATTTTGAAATGATCCATTTCAAAGACCAAAACAGTTAATTTCACTACGCTCCCAAACGTAACCGACGTACACAACCTTATTTTTTACTATTAATTGATGTTATCAACCTATTGGTAAATTAGAAATAAATTTTATTAACAATCGTGAAATTACTAATAATACAATATTTTGTACTTATAGTATTAGACAATAAATACTCATTAACAATTTTTATAAAGCCAATTCCAACTTGTATTAATATTTTATTTATAACCTTAAAATGTAATAATGAATAAGCAGCAAAAATTAATTATATCTAAGTTATACCATAAATTATAATACTCTTAATTATTAAAAAAAACAGATTAGCAATGACTACATCTGTTTATGTGCACATAAATAAATGTAAAGAATATATATAAGGGTGTATCGTAATTCGCAAAACGCAAATGTAACTTTTATTAATGAATATTTTGTTAGAGCCAAGTGATAAATTGTCGATTAGTACAATAAAAAATAAGTGTGCGAAAACTGGGCTTTTATAAATGACTCCTTCAGCTTTAAGTAGTTAATTGAAGATTTAGCGCTTGCAGGAAAATTTTGAGCTAAATTGAGGTAATACTCGGGCATCAACAGGCAAAGGATGATGCTAAAAATGATAATATTTAATAATAAAGTGTGGAGGGGGACAAAGGGACATTCCACAAAACACAATAGTTGCGAGTCTGTCGTATGAGAGATCATATGAAGGGGTGCTCTGCACCCCTTTCTGTAAATTATAAAATTTAAACTTTTTAAAAAAGGAGTCATTTGTCAGAGCTCAGTATTCGTACACTTCTTTCTTATTGTACTAATTGACAATTTATCACTTGGTTTTAACAAAATATTCATTAATAAAAGTTATATTTGCGTTTTGTGAATTTAGATACACCCTAATATATATATATATATATATATATAAGAATATAATGGTGAAAGGGTGAGTAATCCTTCGGACTCTCCCATCAAATCTATTATTATTTAAATAGAAATTGAAAATGTTTTAAATTCATATGTTAGTTGATATAAAAATCATAAAATCGTTTTTTTTCTGATAAACTTAATCGAAATCAAAATCGAAAAATAGTTTTATCGATTTCAAACTATGCATTATGGTATAGAAAATAAAATTTAAATTAAATAAATAATAGTAATAAAAATTTAATACGTCTAAAACTTACTTTCAAAACTGACTTCATCAGCAATTTCAACTTTAGAATTTTCCATTATTCTATTCAATTTTTCATCATTCATATCTTTATCAATTAAACTAGTTTCTATTAAGAAAATTTTTAAATTTGATTTAGTGATGTGATCAGTTTCATTGGAAAGATTGTCGAATATATATTTTAATTCTTCATCGTTAAAATTATCAACCATTTTGTCAATAGATTTGTCAATTTGGCTCATAAATTGATCAAATGTGAAGTCTTTATATTCTAATAATTAAAGTAACAATTAAAAGTTAACTACTCAACATAATAATTTTACACAACTCTGACTTAATTACAAAGTCTTGTAAGCTATAATTTTGATTAACTTTACCTTTTCTATCAAATTTGATATTTTATTTTTTTTATAGAATTTAAAATTTATAGAGTTTGAAATAAACAAGGGAATAAATTTTAATGCAACTCAATACAAATTTACAATAATTTGCATTTTCAGCATTAAATAAAATTCTATAAAAAAGACCCCAAGTTTCACCGTCAAATTTTTACACATTTTTACATAGTATAAAAGTTTATTAATATAATATATTTTTGATTTAATGCTAACAATTTTTTTTATTATAAACAAATAATAATTAACATGTTATTTATATCGTTTTCTTATCTTCAAAAAATACTTTAGCATACCGTGTAAAAATATATATTTTTTCTACATTGCATCCTTTACAATTTTAATTAATAAAAACGTTATTATGTAAAATAAAAAAATTAAAAGAGCATTTAATAATCAAAAATATTTCTGATATTATTTAATGTGGACATTTATCTTTATTTAGTATACTAAATAAAGATTTACTTTTTATTAGTAACAAAAAAATCGTATTATCATCGATTCAATGGTTATTTATTAATATTTTTAGTTACCAAAACATAAATCACATATATCTTTAATTTCTGTATCGCTTAATGGTACATCGTTGTGTCTAAAAAATTCTAAAATTCTTGTTGCTACGTCTAAATTATTAACATCCTCAACTCGATCATCTGATATATTTAATTCAGCATCTGTTTGGTCGATTTCCATATCCTATAAAATAAAAAACACCATTATGAATATTAATAATAATGATATATTCTGTGATAAGTGTGATTCTTACAACACATTTCAACTCAATTTATCTTAAAATAATAATTGTTTTGTAATTTTTTTTTTCGATTTTTGTTATATTACTTATGTATCTCAACTTATATGTTATAAACTTTTTTTTTGGTTCATCCCTTATAACTGAAAGGGATTTCATTTTATTTTAGCTTTGACGCGAAGCTGAGAAGGTATTGGTTTTACTAAGATGTGTTTTTTTTTTTTTTTTTGCCTGTTACCACTTTTTCTCAGCTCTCACCGAACCGATTTCTTTCAATGATACGTCAAAAGATCACAAATTGTATCTAGTCGAAGACATTACCCTCAAAAATTGATAAAAATTTCCTTGTTCCCCGTAAATGGGGGAAACCTCCAAAAAAATTACGAATTTAAAAATCGCTAATTTTCGAAATTTTTTCAATTTTTTTTACTTAAAAGTGCCATAACTTTTTCAAAAATAAACATATCAATATAATTCTTTTTTATATAGATGCATAATATCATTACCTTTCATTTGGTATATTTTTTTCATAAATTTAACCCTTAACCTGCCCACAAAGGGGGGATTTAAAATAACAACTTTTTCACAAAAAATTAACTTTTTCAACTTAACTTTTGAAAATGTTCCAGAAGGTCTGACACTTTTATATATATCTTAAATTAAAGCTAATGTAATATACTTTATTATGCAAAAAAAAAAATTTCGGACTTTATTTTATCTTCATGGTGAAAACAGACATCAAANTTCGGACTTTGTTTAGTCTTCACGGTGAAAATGGCTACCAAATGCTATTATTGTGTGAAAATTTTCGATTTTATTTTTTGCATTTTTAACTTTATAATGCTATAACTTATTGAAAAGTGTATTGATCAATATAATTTTTTTATGGGAAATACTATTTTTTAATAATCCCTTTTTCATTCGACATACTTTATCTTAATCAGGATATTAATAAGGAACTAGCAGTTTATGAAGCTTTTGGAATAATCCACCAATTTTTTAAAATTAAACACTATCTAAAGATTTGCATCGAAGCGTTTTTTTTTTATAGTGATTTTAATCACTGTCAGATATCATTATACTTGATCCAACTATGCCACGTCACCACTGTGCCGCGACCCCCCTGTGCTGGGTTTTTTTTGAATGGCAACATACATATTTAACTTATAAAAGGAAAATGACCTAATTAGGTAAATAATTGGTCGATAACAATTTTCGAACCAGTATTTCAGAAATTATTTATAATTAAAAGTAATAACTATAGGAGAGGGAGTGGGTGCTGCTTTTTTTTTTACTAGTCTTTTCCCGGTCGTACTCCTCCGTCTCGCCTAAGTATAAAAATGAGAATAACTTCCTAAGTACTAATTCAAACATTGTTATCTGCCAGTAATTTTCTTAATTAAATCATTTTCTATTTTATAAGCTAGTTAAATATGACATTTCCATTAAAAAAATAAACTTGACACATTTAAGGTATAAGGAATGAACGAGAAAATGTTTTATGACAGATAAATAATTATTATTTTAAGAGAAATTAAGTGGAAATAGTATGAAAGAATCATTCTGTATACATATATTTTTTAATTTTTAACTTATATATAATAAACTAGCAAGTATGTAACTTATAACTAATGTTAAAGGTAATGAAATTCTGTACGTCTTGGCGGAATAAAATGGAACATTAATATACCAACACACTAAGGCACGGCACGTTTTCAACCTATTGGTAAAATCCTACTTAAAGACTAAAATACATAAAAATTTTGAATATCAAAACTATATTTTTTCGGCTATAAAGTAACAATTCAATATAATGAGAAATTTGATTTTGAAACTTTAATAAAAATTTTATAGTTTTATAGTTTATAGAACACTATAATGGTCATAAATGAAAATTTTTCTTTTGTAAACAGAAATTTTCTATAATAGAAATGAATCACTTGTCACTAATATTATTTAAAATTAAAATAATATTAAAAATATTATTAACTTAAAACTAAAATTATTTAATTCAAAAAGCCATAAAAAAATTACTACAAAATTGTGGATACGTATTTCTGGAAAAATATTATCATTACCATGTACAGTACGCTTAACACATACTGTCAGTAACTAGTATAATAATTGTTTTGTGGCTATTTTAGTTAAATGTTTTTTAGTTTTAAGTTAATAATATTTTTAATATAGTTTTAATTAAAAGAAAAAATAATTTTTTTGTGTATTTCTCACCAATAATATATTTTACCACGTCATATAAATAAAAAGTTTTATGTTTTATTATTTGATAAGATTTAAAGCTCTAAAGATTTAAATATCTAAAATGAAATTTCATAGTTATGGAATACTTTAAATTATCTTTAATCACAAATAATTTTTATAATTTTAAATGCTATATAAAATTATCAACTAATTGTTATTTAAATTGTATTAAATTTAAATGAAAATTAAAATTAAAATACATTACTTCAGATGTCGTATTATTAATATTACTATTCGATCCCCAGACTAATGAAGACACAATGCAACAAACAATACATAATCTAAGACGTAATTGTAAAATCATTTTTTGTTCAATATATGATGTTTAAGATTTAAAAGATTGTCTGATTTTGTAAAAAATTAATTTTAATAAAAATTGTCTAAAATACGTCGGTCTTAATATTAAATGTGTTTGTTTTATTGTTCCATTCCAAGTTTTATTTTTATAGTTTGAGTAATTTATTCAAATATTGTAAAAATAACCAACAGAAGGCATTATGATTTTTTTATTAATAATACTATGAAAAATTATAATATGACGTTTATTTCAAAATTAATTAAAATAGTTTCTACTGTTACTCAAAAAATTATTTAGAGAAAAATTTAATTTTTATTTTGTAAACTAATTTATTCCCCCTAAGTTTATGATATTTTTTCCAATATTATTTTTAAAATTAATTTTTCTTTGGAATCCATCACGATATTAGAAAATAAAAATATTTTAAATTATTATATAACATTGATGAAGTCTTTTTTGATAAATTGGGAAATCTCTGTGATTTTAGGTTCGAGAGATTTAGAGTTGTGTGCAGTATGATCATATCAAAATCTCTATAATTGAAAAAAAAATATTTTAATGAGTCCTAAGTTGTAATATTTATATTTTTTAATTAAATAAAATTTTTTTTTAAACTAAGTTATGAGGAATTAAAATAAACATTTTGTTGGAAGAATGGATAAGTAATCAAGCGCTGAGCTGACTTTTATTTCGTTTTCGCAAAATATATAATTACATGCCATTATTTGTGTATTTTCTTATTATTATATTAGTTAATACTTAATTTTAATTTTTTTTACAAAGCATCTAGATTAAGTTTTAAGAGATAGTAATATGTATTCAGTCGTCTACCTTGACTCTCCAAAATTATTTCTATAGATAATTAAAAAAATGACCATTGCATAATTGAGTATGTAATACAGATTCAACTACATATACAGTTTCTGTATACAACGGAATTTGAATGTACCAAAAAATATTTTAAGCTTAAACAATGTTTCGGTTAATAAATTAACAAAAATATATATTTTCGTTTTATTAGTTAATATTCTAATATAAAATATCTGAGGACTAAATTATTAGAAAGATTCCAGTAACGGCGGCCGTCTAAGAAAAATTATCATCTTCTTCCTCGCCTTAATTCCCAACTACTTGGGATCGGCCACCCTTATCCTAAACTTCCACTTGATACGGTCTCCCACATCATCTACGCTCATATCAGCTGTCCTCAAATCGCATTCAATAGCATCCTTTCATCTCTTTTATGATCTTCCTCTACCTTTTCTTCCTTCAACATTAATTTCTATAACTATTCTTACAGTTTCCAATTCTTCTCTCCTCATAACATGACCAAACGATTTAAAAAATAATAATTTTTGGTAGTATTACCATCACAACTAAAATTTATCATAAGCGGGTTTTCCTGATTATACAATTTATAAGGCATTTGTAAGTTTTGATTAATTAAAAATTAAAATTGATAATTTTATAATATCAAATTCGACGTGTTGAGCTATAATAAAATATTATCATGATTAATAATATTGATATTTCAAAATTATAGATAAACTTAAAGTTCAAGTTTTAGCGATATATTATTACAAGGCGAGAAATATTTCCTACTTGAGGTTAGAGCCTAAAAAACACTTGACCTAAATAGATTTAGGTCAAGTGCTTTTATCTAAGGATTGTTTTAGATCGGATTGCCTGTTCTTGAGAATTCAATGTCGTCAAAAATATTTTTACTACGACGATTTAGATAGTCTTTTGTTTGTAAACTATGTACATGTCTAGGAAACAATTAAAAAACATTATCACTTATTTTTAAAATAAGCTAAAAATATTATATTGTATGGAAATGAAAAATATATTTAAACTAAATATTCATAATATTCACAAATTGAATGAAGGAATATAAATGTTATCTCGGAAATTGCTTTTCTACATAAAATCTTAGCCATTTATCAAATTCTGAAACATATAAAAATAATTTTATTTATTTTATTAGATATAAAATTTGGATAAATTATTTTAACTGTAACTTTCTTTTATAAAACTATTTTTATTAATATTATTTCGATAATTAAGATAAAACTGACTCCAAAAGTAAGTATATACATCAAAGTTGAGATTTTAGTAATAAAGTTTAAAAACTCTAGATCCTATAGTATCTAGATTTTTGACTCGATAGGGAAATGATTGTAATATTTTCTTTGTTACATCAAAATAATATTTAATATTGTCTGTTTAGTTTTATAAACCAATAAAAAAAATGTTTATAAGAGCAATTTTGAGTTTATAATTTAATTAAATATTATTTTTATTATTATATTAATGAAGAATGAGTTTATTCTATATCTATTCAATAACAATCTTAAAAATTACGTTCAAAGTTAAGTCGATCATCTCCTTCAGCATTAGCCATCTTAAAGATGTCATCTAAATCTTGGTTGTCGATTTTTAAATCAAGACAATTTAAAATTTCATATAACCTGATTTTAGTAATGAATTCGGTTCCTTTAGAATATAAGTTGAATAAGCCTTTTATTATTTCATCATGAGATTTAATGTTTTTTTCTGGATTATTATTGTTTATAATTTCACAAAATTTTCCAAATGTTAAATACCTTTTATGTACTAAAAAAAACGTAAATAATTAAAAAAAACACTAATTATTGGCTATTTTAATTATTAATGAAATGTATTTATAATTAAATTAATTAAATTAGATTATTATAAATGTATCATATGCAGTGACATAATCAGATTTTTTTTGAATACAGAAACTTGCTCAAAATTTTATAAAATTTCTTATAGTTGATGATCAAAAAGAAAATATCTTCTATTCAATAGTTGACTAAATATTGTAACCGTTTAACCTTCCCATGGTCGTATAGAGTTTAATATTTGAAAGTAAAACAAAAATATTATATGTAAAAAATTCTGACACAGTAACTTTTTATTCTAAAGCTGTGAATAGCCAAATTTTAGTAACCTACAATATTTTATCTTAACTGATAAAATTATGAATATATTAATATTATTTTACAAAATAATTAAATAAGTACCCAATACAAATGCTAAAGCTCAGTATTTCAAAACATAATTGAAAAATAATACAGAGGACATTTCTAAAAAAAAAAAACATATAAAAAATAGATCTAAGATTTTTTACATATTATCTTGCTGGTTACTTGAATTTGTTTTTTAAATTAATGATACAATCAGAAATTAACAACAGGCGCAGTACTACACCAGTAATGGCAGTTTTGTCGTAATAGCGACTACCAGTATTGGACAAATAATGTTATATGTCTAGGATGATAATGTTTTTTACGCACTAAAATATCAGTACTGGAGATTTTTTTATATAGTATTACGACAGTACTCTTCCAGCAATGGCAATTAAGTACTGGTCGCCAACACTAGATCAGTAATTAGACAAGAAGTCATTAGCTAGTACTACGCTAGTGCGGGTTGACTAATGGTACGGTTCCAGTACTGTTGTAATACTTGAACGATGTCATTGCTGATAATTTCTGCTTGGGTGTTTTATATCTATAATTGAATATTATATTGACATTTTTTTGTTAATAGTTGTTGACATATATCCAATAAAATAAAATTTTATAAATGAAGAATTATCTAAATATGCATCAAACATAACAATTTTCAGTGCACTACCTTTACATTTGTTTAGTACATTTACGACATCAGTATTTCCATGTGGAAGTTTGAGTTTTTCCATATCTTCCATTAATTGCGTAATAGTTAATTCATTATTAGTGTCATTGATGATTCGATGATAAATTTTTTTGAAATTCGCTATTTTATCTTCTGAAGGAGGACTCTAAATTTCATATCTAAACTGTTTTATTAATTTCGATACTATAGACTATAATTATATTATGACTTCTATTTATAAAATCTGTTTTTTGCGAAAACAATGTGGTAACTCAAGAAATACTTCTTTCAAAAACACACTAAATAGATTTTTGATACAATTACAAAATTATTGAGTTTGCAAGAAAGACTGACATTTTTTTAAATTAAACATTGTTGTATTAAACAAGCAATACATAAACTATATTTACTCCTGTTTGAATATTAATTACTATATTGTAAAATGGACAGTGAGCTATTTAATTTAAAACAAATAATATAACAACAATGCAAAGAAAAATAATTTATATTCTTGAGATATACAGGTTGTTTAGTAAATAAAGAAACGGATCATTAGTCATTAACAATGACAACAAAAGAAATCTGTTTCCTTACTTATTGAACAACCTATATAATGGACATTTGTTTAAGTTTGTTTTTGATATATTTAAAGATAATTAAAATATTTTTAATTACATTTCTATAACTATTTACTATACAGTGTATAGTTATAGTTAAACAACTATCTTGTATGTGTTTCCAATAAGAAAATGATGTGTAATTAAAAACATTGTTTTTACTTTTTATTAAATTATTTATCGATACAAACTAAATAAACAAACATTAATTATAATAAAAAAAAATATATAATAATATAATTTAATATTATTATAATAAATAATATTATTCATACTATAATAATTATTATTTTATGGAGTTTTATTATACTTATTTTTTCAAACTGAAAAATTTATTTTTAAAACTTCTATTTCAAAATATAATATACATGTATATTTTTACGTATAATATATACAATATGTACATATTGTATATTCACGAAAAAATTATGGATACTCATCATATGCAATTTATAAAAAATATTTTTGAATTCATGGGTGATACAAGTAGGAGTGTGGGGCGAAGCCTTCACTATTTTGTAAACATAAATTAATTTAAGTTTTGTTATTTCAGTTATTATTGCTTTTGTTTTATTTATGTTTAAATTATAGCTTAAAAAATCAATGATAATATATTACCGTAGATGATTTTGCATCATTTCCAATGATATTTATTTGAAAAGCTAATACGAGTAAAAAAAAATTGATAATGTTAAGTCGTAGAGTAATGAGCAAATACATTTTCTTTCAACAATAAAAAGGTATTAAAATATTTATGTTACGTTCCACAAAATAGTTAAAGGACTATTACATTTAAAATATAAGAAACTATTTTTTTTTAAATTTTTTTTCCAATTTTATTATGCCCAACACTATGAAATTAATTTAATAACAAAATTATTTTTAAGCAGCATACTGTTGAGTGTAAATACGATAATTACATGCAAAATGGTGAGTATTAAAAATAATATATAAATAATTCATTTCATACAGACAATAAATCAGTATATTTATTTTTGTAATTTTATTTTAGCTTACATTTAATTTAGGTAGGCGATATCCAGGCAAATTAACGCTTGGGACAAGAAAATCACTTGGATTTAAAACAATATATTAATACTTGTGAACTTTTTATGAAAATATTTTAAGTATATTAACCAAACAATGACAATTTTTCTAAAAATACTAAATGAACACATATTTTTATTTTAAATCGAACTTATACCTTTTTAATCTTTTAAATAAAATAATATTACAGTTTTGTGGCATAAATAAATAAATAACTTTTTTTTTTGCAATAGCTGATGAAAAACATTGAAAATAAAAAATATTTGTCATTTTAAATCTTGTTGAATTAGGGAGGTCCTAGATAAATTTTTGAATTAGAATAAAATAAGAAAAATTGTTTTATTCATTATTTGCAGAGTAACATGAGCTAAAAGAGCTTACTTTTATTTTTATAGCGTATAACTTGTAATTTATGATAGTTATAAACGATCTTAATTTTTTTCAACTAGAAAAACTATTAAAAAATAAAAATTAAGTATTAATACTAAGATTAAAACTCTATTTAATGAGTAATTAATTTTTCTCAAAAAATAAAATACATTTTTTAAGTATTATCTAAAATAAAACCCAATACAGTGGGGACGTGGCATAGTTGGGTCCAATATAGATTTAATCTGACTGTGATTAAAATCACTATCATAAGAAACTCTTCGATGCAAATCTGTAGTTAGTGTTTAATTTTAAAAAATTGATGGATAATTACAAAAGCAACATCAACTTCTATTTCCTTAATTATACCCAGATTAGTAATTCTTTTAATTATATATTATATAATATTTAAAATGAATTGTGTTTCAAATTATTATTGATTTTGATTTTTAATATGTTAAAAGTAATCATTTTGAACCTACTTTTTATTGTCCTTTAAAGTGAAAGTTTTATTAAAAAAAAAAAATGAATTTATTACCATAACAAGTAGCTCAATTTGCAAGTTTGAAATTGACATTATTAAATAGATAAAAATGAAATTGTTAAGATTAATATGCTGTCAGCAAATTTTATAATTACTATTTACAGTATATTTATCAGAAAAGTTAGATTTTTTTACATTTTTATCGTAATAGATCACTTAAGTAAAAATCATAGTAATCATTTCTAATTAACTTTTGGCGTTTAAAAATATTCTACAATGAAAATATTCAGAATTTAATTAATTTTAATGATTATATATCTAAAAAAACCAATAAAAAAAAATTATTCAATTTATCCTATTATAAAAATAATAATTATAAAAAAATAGGGCAGTGTATTGCCCTTATAAGATATTTTAAAATAAAATATAATACAAAACCCAGGATTTTAACACAAAAATAGCATATTTTTGAATACGGTAGCCATTTGCGCATAAAAGATAAGTCGTCGGGACAAATTTTTTTTTTTAATTTTATAGTACATGGCATAAGCTTTAATTTGACATATGTTTAAAGAACGCAGTATTTCCGGAACATTTTCAAAAATTAAGTTGAAAAAGTTAGTTTTTGTAAGAAAGTTACTATTTTGAATCCCCCCCTATGAGCAGAATAAGTGTTAGATTTTCAAAAAAATGATAACAAATGAAAATAAATTACATAAGGTTTCAATATAAAAAAATATTATTTTGATTTGTTAATATTTGAAAAAGTTATGGCAGTTTTAAGTACAAAAAACATCCTTATAAAAGGTGATTTTTATCGCAAATATTACATTTTTTTTATAATTTCGACAGCCATTTGCACATAGAAGATAAGGTGTCGGGACAAATTTTTTTTTTTCATTTTATAGTACATAAAAAAAGCTTTAATTTGATATATGTTTAAAGGACGCAGTATTTCCGGAACATTTTCAAAAGTTCAGTTGAAAAAGTTCTATTTTTTATACAATGTTTCAAAGTTTGAACCCCCCCTATATAAGGGGAAATTGTCTAATTTTAATAAAAAGTATGTCAAATGGAAGATGTACTTATAATGTATTTAGAAAAAAAAAAATTGTGCTGATACATGCATTTTTCGAAAAGTTATAGCATTTTTAAGTTGAAAATTAAAAATCGAAAATCGAAAATTTTAACACAAAAATAGTGTTTTTTTAACTACGGCAACCGTTTACATGCAGAAGATAAAGTGTCGGGACAAATTTTTTTTTTTCATTTTATAGTACATAAAATAAGCTTTAATTTGATATATGTTTAAAGGACGCAGTATTTCCGGAACATTTTCAAAAATTAAGTTGAAAAAGTTAGTTTTTGTAAGAAAGTTACTATTTTGAATCCCCCCCTATGAGCAGAATAAGTGTTAGATTTTCAAAAAAATGATAACAAATGAAAATAAATTACATAAGGTTTCAATATAAAAAAATATTATTTTGATTTGTTAATATTTGAAAAAGTTATGACAGTTTTAAGTACAAAAAACATCCTGATCGAAGATGATTTTTATCGCAAACATTTCATTTTTTTTTAAATTTCAACAGCCATTTGCACATAGAAGATAAGGTGTCAGGACAAATTTTTTTTTTATAGTATATAACATAACCTTTGATTTGATATATGTTTAAAGGATGCAGTATTTCCGGAACACTTTCAAAAGTTAAGTTGAAAAAGTTCTATTTTTTATACAATGTTTCAAGTTTTGAACGCCCCCTATATATGGGAAAATTGTCCAATTTTAATAAAAAGTATGTCAAAAGAAAGATGTACTTATAATGTATTTAGAAAAAAAAAAAATTTATGCTGATACCTACATTTTTCGAAAAGTTTTTAAGTTGAAAATTTTAACACTAAAATAGCGTTATTTTAACTACGGCAGCCGTTTGCATGCAGAAGATAAAGTGTCAGGACAAATTTTTTTTTTCATTTTATAGTACATAAAATAAGCTTTAGTTTGATATATGTTTAAAGAACGCAGTATTTTCGGAACATTTTCAAAAATTAAGTTGAAAGAGTTATTTTTTTAAAAAATTGCTATTTTCAATACCCCCCAGTGAGCAGGTTAAATGTTAAATTTTCAAAAAAAAAAATGATATCAAATAAAAGGGAAATATCTAAGGTTTTAGTATAAAAAAAAATTATGTTGATTTGTTTATTTTTGAAAAAGTTATGGAAGTTTTAAGAAAAAAAAGTGAAAAAAATGACAAAATTTACCTATTTTTAAATTTTTTATTTTTTTGGATATCTACCCCATTTGCGGGAAACGAGGGAATTTTTTTCAATTTTTAAGGATAATGTCTTCAACTAAATACGATTTGTGATCTTTTGACGTATTGTTGAAAGAAATCGGTCTAGTGAGAGCTGAGAAAAAGTGGCAACAGACATAAAAAAAAAAAAACACATCATAGTAAAATTAATACCTTCTCAGCTTCGCATCGAAGCTAATAATGATATTTGTTTATATTGTAGTGTGAATATAGATAAAATGAACAATTTTAAGTTTTATTCTTGTTAATAAGCAATAATTAAGTTTTACAAAAAAATTTGTTTATATATTGATAAATGCATAGGAAATCTTATCGCTGTAGTAGATAATTATAGTATTCTTTATTATTCTTAACATAAAGGATCAATAACTGCACACTACAGACATTTTCTTAAGTTTTAAATCATTAAACTTTTAATGTTTAAAAAAATAATTAACATTTATTTTATTTCTTATGATATAAAAAGAGTATGAATACTATATCCTGGGATATCTTTTTGCTTTATTGATTTTATTATAATATAAATGTGAGTAATTTACTTAAAAAAGATAATATTAGAACAATTAAAGTTAAATTATTTACTATGCTTCTATCATATTTGTGTCTTGCAACATCAATAAATTCTAAATTTTTAACAAATTTTGTTCTTCAAGTAACATTATCAACAATTTAAATACTGAAAATGTATAAATATAATTTTTAGTTAATTTTACGATGTACTAAAAAAAAACATTTTTAACAAGACGTAATTTTATCATTTTTTTATTTACTTAGGAATATTAATCAATATAATAATTTTATTAATATATAATATTATTCTACCCGTAAAATAATTGTTATAGTTATTACTATATTATGCTATACATTAATACAATGAGACACTACTAATAATCACAAATGTACTATAGAAAAAATTCTCGTAAATTTTTCAATTGGAATTTTTGTTGGATAACAATGCGTTTTGACGCATAAGATTACACGTCTTGTTTCTTTAAAGTGAGAGTAAATTATTAATTTTGAAAACAAGAGATATAAAATTTAACCAAAATTGACTATTATAAATTAAATAACTGATAAAAAGGGTTCTATTGCGCTATTAAGCTTGAAGCCATATTTCAGTTTAATTTCTTATGCACATTACTTATTAAAAAAACACGAAATAATTACCTTCAAGATTAATTATACTATTCTCATCGACCAATGCATATCTGAGTAATATTTTTATTTTTTCGATGTCGATTTGTGGATCAAACTTTTTTATGACTTCCAAAAATGTTGCAGTAGAAAATCCATCCGAATTCTTAGAATTTAAGTTAAATATATTTTGTAAAACTTCATCATCAGTTGGGATTTCTACATTTTTGCTTCCTGGGATGTTTTCAAAAATTATATCACAGAAAATTCCGAAGGTTAACTCATTTTTAATCTCTAAAAATTATAAAAAGATATTTACAATAATGCAAACAAAAGTATCAATAAGTTTTTCTACTAAAAAATCGATTTGTGTTGTCTATTCAGAACATTATGTGCGATTAATAATATTTTTATGAGCCATATATAAATTGTATAAATTAGGTTAAAAATCAAATTTAAATAACACTCAACCTTTGCATCTCCGATGAATATTTTGAATGGCTAGTTCTTCTAATGGTATGCAAAGAGAAGTTATACCAACCATAAATTCTGAAATAGTAATGTTATCATCATCATCTTGAGCTATAAGATTGTATATTTCTCTTAATTTATCCACTATTGTATTAGGTATTTTCTAAAAATAACAGAAATAGTTTTATGCTACATAATTCTCTTCTATTGATCAGTATGTTTTTAATTTTGTTAATAAGTAGGGTTCAAAAAATTTGTTTTAGGAAGTTCGTTAATGAGGAAGTTAGTATTATTGGAGCAAGGAGGGATCACTTAACTCTTAAACAAAAATATTCCTATGAGACTATGATTATATATGATATATTATCACAGAGTCTCAAAAAGTGCCTAACTCTACTTATAAGTTGCTGACAATTTAAATAACTATTGAATATATACAATATTTTTTATTAGAGCATACAGAGTGTTCAGTGACCACTCATTAGCCTCGTGCTCACTCAACATTAATTAGCGCATCTAGAATTTACGGGATATCTAACAATTAAGCTGGTAAAATATATATATATAACTATTTAAAACAATGGAGTTGGTATCCTTATGAGAGATTGGGGAGGATATAAAAGAAATTTAACAACTTATAAATTGAGAAGTAAATACTATAAAATATTTTTTATTTAATTTACGTTAAAATTAAAAACTTTTCATAATATTCTTAGATAATTTTTTATGAATCTACTTTATATTACCCTTAATAAAAAAATTATCAATTTTGAATTTCTGTAAAACTTATAAAAAAAAATTTAAGATATAAATATAAATTTTTAGATGTAGAATACTATAAAATAATTTAAAGAAAAATCTTTGTATTATTATTATCATTATTTTATGATATTAAAATTAAACTTTATAAATTAAATAATATGAACAGAAAAAAAGAAATAAATTCATTTGCAGCGACAAAATACTTTTTCAGACTTACTAAGTACAATAAATAATGTTAATTACAAGTATGGCACTAATGATAAGACAATTAAAAATTTTCTGGATCCCTGGTCATTCAGATATTTAGGAAAGTAAACTAGCAGATTAAACCACAAAAATAGGAACAATTGACCCGGCAGCTAAAACAATTCAATTAATTACAAAGTAGTACTTAATTTTGATAACTTAAAAATAGCAAGAATGTAGAAAGCTCAACCAATACAAAACTACAAGAAATCAAACAAGTCGTGATTCTTTGGCCTCTAACCATTGATGTTATACCAAAAAAACTCCAAGAAATCCTAAGAACATTAATTTTACTGTCTAATATTTAAATAGTAGATCATTTGTTAAAAATGTAAATTTTGTAACCATTTTAGAATATTAAATATATACATATATATAGTACTTAGATAAAAGTATTTACACATCAATAATTTTACCACAAAAGAACCTGTTTCTTCAGAATTATGCAATTGTATAGTCAATTCAGGCATAAATCCACAAATAACAAACACACAAATGGAAATTTGGTAAAACATTTTAAGAACTAGAAATTTGATAAAATAAAATAAACAGTTATTTAACTTTTATAATAATTTTTACTAGAATAACCTTTCTTGTAAAATATCATATATAAGTATTTTATTTATATTATTATTTAAATAATTTTATATAAGTTTTATTCTATTTTTTTTTTATTTATTCTTATTATATTAATAAATATATTAAAAAAACCTTTAAAATATGTTGTCAGCTTCTTTATTTCATTTAGAAAATATATGTCCTCACAAATTCTGCAGTTGAGTAAATAAAATATAAATGTACGAGACACTCTAAGAAGCATAAGAAAACAATTAACAATAACTAATTCGTATTTGATTAGTTTGAATAACATTTTTAATTATTAGTTTAAACTAAATAATAAAATGTTTATGTTTATTATGATATATTTATTATGTTTATATTGTAAATTTTTAAATTTTTTTTATTTCTTTATTAATTTTTACTTGTACAAGTCGCTTTTAAAACTGCCATAAAAACTATAAAATGCAATTTTTTTCAATTTTTGGTACAAAATTAGAATTGTTATGACGCTTAAAAATTGTGAGATTTACTGAATTATTGGAGTAGTAAAATCTGCTATAAAAGTTTTAACTGTTAAAATGAAACACGTTAGAAATTTATCTTTATTAGGGCTAGATTAAATAGCCTCTAAAATCAAATATCTGTAAATAGAATATCTATGGAGGCCTTTCTGTACTGATGTTTTATGATATATATTTTGGGTACAAAATTGCTTTGCATTTTTCAATACTTTTGAAATTATTGTTTTATTATGTTCTAATATATTTAGTTATCGTCAAAACTAAAAAGAAATCATATTGGTTAGAGTCACCTATACTGCTATCACTGCAGCTTTGGTTATTTTTGAATTTTATAAAATCCCATACATAAACAATTAGTCTCAAATTTTGTATTATAAGCAAAATTTTAAAGCTATTTGATTTTAGGGTAACTTTTACATTTTATTATAACGTAATATTATCTATGCTAAAAATTATATTATTGGTTAATTGCCAATATTGTAATATAAAACCAATTACTGTAATTTAAAAAATGCAAACTATAAATTTTCACCAATTTCTTAATAAAATAACTACTTATTGTTAATCATTTGATTTCTGCCATATTTATTTAAATATACCAATGTTTTCGGTAAGATCCACTAGGCAATTATTTTTTTAAAAATATTTTTACACAAACTAATTAAAAAAAACACTGTTTTTAACGGACACTGGATAGCTAATAAGAAAATTTTACTTTATTAAAAAATTCATTTATAGCCATTGACTATAAAAAAGTTCTGTTATTTTAATGATTATCACATCATTTTTTAAATAATTATGAAATATAACTAACTATTATAACAATATTTTCACAAACAAGTAAACATAATTTTTATTGACATTATAAAATAGAATATTACAAATGGAAGAAAGTTTTTCTTAAAACAACATTGAAGATCGCATGTTTTTTACTCTGAAAGTTTGAGTTAAAGGTCAGTAAAATTACTTAAAAGGTTCTTAAAAATATTATTGCTAAATAATATTATTATCAATACAGTCAAAAAATGTAAAGAACATTAATTTAAACAAATAATATAATGACTAAAAAGTACATTTTTTTGCTAAAATAGTAATAATCATAATAATAGTTAATTAATATAATTTAATTTGTTTTAAAAATTACTTTTAAAATTTTTCCTCTGAATATTTTTAGAAGTTATAACACTTCTACTGATTAATTTTTATTTAATGAGCAAGTATAACATATTTATATTTTTGATTTTCTGTATTAGTTATTTTATCATTGGCCAGATTAAAATTAATATATTTTTCAAAAATTATTATTAAATTACCACTTTTGGGTAAAATATAGAAAACTAAATGAAATAACTAAAAAGGACATGACTACATGAGAACATGGTTTAACCTGGATGAATTATTCGAACGTAAGAATTAGAAGTGCGCTGTTTTGGTTATGGAGTTTTGCGGTTCTGTACAGAAGTTACTGGATACTGTACTCAAAATGAGTAGAAATAATTTTACAGACCTAGTAGATACGTTGAGTTGATGTTTAAAAAAAAAACAACCTAACGCAGTTATATTAGATATTGGTCGAAGTACGAGATCAGTGCCCGGCCCAATCTCAGGAATTAGAAATCGATATAAGTTCAATTAACTCACCTCGCCTACCCAATCAACTGTTTTTTCGGAGCAAGTGTCGCTTCAAGAGTTCACGGACGGTATAAGGGATATGAAACGCAACATGTTCAGCTAGGACATGACGAAAACGTCTTCTACAATAGAAAGGGTGTGGAACTTGAGGCAAAGGCTGTTAGGGGGCGTTATCGTGTACGACGAGCTATTTTGGATAAGTGCATTATGTGTCGGAGCAACTGAAAAACTTGTTGGCTTAAGTTAATCCCAGACCTTTGCCGAAGAACAAAGGTAACTACCATAAATTTAAACTGAAAGGAAAAACAGGGTGCTTTTTGAGGTTACGGATAAATCGAACATTATCGGACGGAGTGTCCAAAATCACAGAGGAGTAAACCTGTTCAATTGTCAAGTCCGGTCCAGCCAGCGTTGTAGGGTGTAAACCTTTGAGGAATAGAAGTACCAGTCTATTATGATTTTACTAATTGACGGAGGTGAGCACAGTATATACGTGAAGGGGAAGCTAATGATCTTAAGAGGTTATGTAGTTGACGTTCCAATTAATTCATCCGATACATTTATGTACACTTATTTTTACTAAAAGAATAATGAAAAAGTATTAAGAGATTAACTATACGAGATGAGAATTATATAAATTATTTTTTTATTAATAATGCAAAATAAATAGAAACTTTTTAGTTCAGAGTACAAAAATCATTATACGGTTTCATAACAGCGGGTCGTGTACGTCGGTATATGCTGCGGACAAACTAGATTACAAAAACGGGGTAGACGGTATTTTTAATAAATCACAATTTAAAAAAAACACGATTAGAGGCAATTAAATTATAAAAAATGTACAACAAATACTAACCAACCATAACAAAATACAATATATTGAATATTTACAGTAAAATTGACGGCGACTAGGACTGATAATGGCTAGGATGGCCACATTATTCGCAGTTGCATCTAAATTGAGAAATATTGACTGGTTTTGCTAACTATTAAAGAGATGAGATAGTCTCAATCAGAGAAACAACCTAAAAGTAGAAACGCGACAATGTTTTATCATGGTAAATAAAAATATAAAAGAGAAGTTTGCTTTATAGTAAGTGACACGGTACTAAAAAGCGTACAGTAGTTTAAACCAATATGCCACCTAAAAATTTATGGAAGGTGGTTTAATACTGCATTAATTAATTGCAATTCTCCAATCGAAAATAAATATAAGAATATAAATAAAAATTGTTATGAACAACTAGGAGCTTTTTATGAAACTATACTTTGAAGTATGACTAAAATTTTACTGGTAGATTTTAATGCAAACGTAAAGAAAGAATTGGAATTCAAACAAGTCTTTGGGATATTCAAAGTGTTCAAAAGTAAGAAAACGGGATAATTGTTAAAAACAGTGAGAACAATAGAAATCCGTTCCCCTCATCTTATATTGTTCACAAGATAATAATAATGGAGTTCGATTAGTGTAAATCGCTAGATCAAAAGGTGTGGCCTTAAGTGGTACATTCTTTCCCCATAAAAAGATTTATAAACATACGTGGATATATCTTAGTGCTACAATAAAAAATAAGTTAAACTATCTAATAACAAAAAAAAAACTATAAAGTTAAATAATTTTTTAATATATTAATTAAGTCCGATAAAAATAATACTAATAATGATGTTGATTATTTATGGGAACATTTTCAAATCTAAAGTAAACAAGATTTATTAAGTAAGAACAATATATATTAAGCTTAACATACTAAATTAAAAATAAATTATTTATATATTCTATTTACAAATAAATTTTTCTTTTAAAACAGTGTTTAAATAACTAATCAAATATATCATACCAAAAAAATAAAATAGTAACTGTTTTATAAAAATATATACAAAATTTACGGAATGAACTGTTTATTCCACAGAAAAATTCAAATAATTTAAAGTAAAACTAAGTTATTCTATCTTCATGGAAGTCTAATTACATTTTCTTGATTTATATACTATGTTCAAAATTAAAAAAGAAGTGTCTCATTTAAAATTTTTTATCAAACTCGAATGAATTTAGATCAATATAAATATTCATATAAGATAATAATTGAAAATTACTTAAAAATAATAAAATTCAATGGAAACATTTTGTAGTGTACAATAAATTTACACTTCATTTGTGTACGTACCGCCATGTCTCTGTATAACAAGGGTGTCTTTTTTTTATCATTAAGCGACACGTAATGGACCAAACAATTGTTTACACCTCTATGTGTCATTAAGCACGCGAAAAGTTTATTTAAAACGGATATATTTCCCCGTTGCCTCAAGCATTCTCTTTTATGTTCTCCCAGCAACGTTGGACCCTAATTTTTACTATTGCTTTTTTTAGGGATAGAGGATCAAAAGGGTCCACATCTACGAAGCGATTTATACAAGTGAAAAACTATGTATATATACATACATGTTTCCGCTAAATACGTTCGCAATGTTTGTTTAGCTCATACAATAGATTTCAAAAACAATATAATATATAAGTCTGACACCCTATACAATACAGTGCGCTTTGGGTTTATTCTGTTTTCCATCGTCCATACGCTAAAAAGGGGAATTAAAATAAGACTTGATTATGTTGAAAGGATAGATTTATTTTATTATTATTAAAAAAGATCTCAAATGACTCACAATTAATAAATGTCTACACTTGAACTTGACAGTTTAAAGTTAGTTTTAATATTGACTCTTTATTCTACGATGTTATGCAAAGATCTAATATATATTTGAAAGTATCAACTGTAATAATATCGCTGTAACTATAACAGTATTAAAGTAATACCAATCTCAAACATGTGTCATACCTTTGACAAATATCTTTTTAAATTACAAACAGCAAATTAAGCGTAC